GAGCTCAAGCTACAATCTCTGGTAACTCTTCTCTTCCTTCGTCTTCTACACCTAATAAAGAAGGATCAGTTCAAGTACACCAAGCTATTGCTAGACTGGTTTCTAGCATTCTGAGTGGCAACCAATCTGTACCGGGGATTTCTATCCCTTTGAATCAATCAGAAAGTCCAAATGTGGAAGGTTCTGAAAATATAGATGTCACTAAGGATGTTGTGACACCAAAAGACAACATTCAAAAGGCTGCTGATCCACCTATCATTGATGTGGATGAAGATTACTCAGATAATGAACTGATTGCAAATGTGAACCCTAGCATTGCTAGGAGATTGATGAAAAGAAAGAGTAGTGAGACTGTTAAGCCTGATGTTAAGAAATCCAAGGCTGAAGGGTTGGCTGAGAAAATTCAGACTAAAGGGAAGAAGGCACAGGTGCAGACTGCTAGACAACCTGAAACTTCTGATTCTGAATCAGAATTTGAGGTTGACATTGACAATACTCCCATCAGAAGGAAGCTCCCCTCCAGCAAGATTGCTAGAGTGCCTGAAGTGCCAACAGACAACATCTCCTTTCATCATCCTGATAATGCAAACAGGTGGAAGTATGTTTGCTTGAAGAGAATAGCCTTGGAGAGAGAACTCAACAATGATGCTTTGGAGTGCAAAGACATCATGGAGCTGATCAGGAATGCTGGGCTAATAAAGACTGTGATGAAGTTTGGCAAATGCTATGAAAATCTGGTTAAAGAGTTTGTAGTGAACTTATCCAATGATTGTGCTGATGGGAGGTCAGCTGACTTTGAGAGTGTGTTTGTTAGAGGAAGAAGGGTCAAGTTCTCTCCATCAGAAATCAACAAGTTTCTTGGAAGAACAAATAAGGACTGTCCTGACCTAGAGGCAACTGACAATGAAGTATGCTTGACCATCACTGCCAGGCAAGTAAAGTGCTGGCCATTGAAAGGGAAGTTGAATGCTAGTAAACTCAACATGAAATTTGCCATCTTGCATAAAATAGGTGCAGCAAACTGGGTGCCTACAAATCACAAATCAACCATCTCCACAGGATTGGGGAGATTCATCTATGCTGTAGGAACCAAGACTGCCTTTGACTATGGAAGGTACATTTTTGAACAAACCTTGAAGCATGCTGGCAGTTATGCTGTCAAAGGACCAATTGCCTTTCCCTCCCTCATTTGTGGAATCATCCTTGCACAATATCCTGAAATACTTGTAGCAAGAGATACAGTCTGCAAAAGAGCCCCTGCCCTTGGCCTGCACTACAAACTGTTTCAGGGATCCCATGCTCCAGACATTGTCATAACATCAGCTGAGACATCGTCTGCAAAGAGCCAGTCCAAAACATCAGATGTCATAGCTGTCTTAAAAGAAACTTGCAAAGATCTGGATGCTAGAAAAAGGACCCTAGAAGCACTAATTGCCAAGCTAGAAAAGGAAGAAGCTGAAGCAAGCATGAGGGAAGAAGATGAAGGACAGCTCAACATTGAAGAAAGTGGCTCCTCTGAGTCTGATGACAGTACTTGAAGGATGATTGCTGCTTGGTGGTGTTGCTGGTGGAGTTTGGAAGTATGTTCTGCTGTTGTCTGCTGCTGATCTCATTATTTTGTCTTGGATAACTGTATTACTTTATAAACATGTAATCTTTGGCCCATTTGTGGCTAAAGTGGGGGAGAATATTTTTGGTACTGCCTAATTAGTACTTAACACTATATTTTTCTGCTGTCACTTATTTCTGCTGCTATCTATCTATCTCTGATTGTTTAGGGACTTTAGCCAAAAATCTGCCAAAGGGGGAGTTTGTAGGTGTTTAGGTATTGGCTTGCATTTTTGGTAAATTCCAAGTGTATGTGTGAATGTCATGACTGATGTCATAACATTCTAGTTCAGGTTGTACTAACTCTTTAGGTACATATGCAGAAAAATATTGTAACTCAAATACTGATGTTTATAAGTGTGTATCTGAGCATGTTTGCAAAATGATCACATTTAGCTAATCAGTAGACAGGTTTTCTCAGATGTCATAACAGATGTTATGACATTCTGTTCTGAACTAGCAGAATTACAGGATTGGATAAGTCTGAGTTTTTTCAGGAAATAACTCAGTCCTTCCTAAACAGAATCCTGCGTTTTCTGAGGAGTAACCTCGCTCAATCCTAACCTGATCAACAAAGTACTGTGACCTGGTCATTAGGTCAAAAGGAATCAACCCTAGGTTTTTGGAAACCCTAACTGAAGTTGCAGCTGCTATATATTCAACAGAGCTGCGGTTTTTGAAGTCATCCCTGCTGATTGATTAGAAGATCAAGTTTGTAATCTGTATAGATTTGTTTATTGTACTCCAAGCAATTATCATTGTGATAAGTGTCTTGGAATAGGTTTCAATTGTAAGGGTTGTGTAGCACTCAAAGCTTTGAAGCAAGAGTGTTTGAATGTTACTTGACTAAAGCTGTGAAGCAGAGTCAAGTTAGTTGTGTACATCACTCAAAGCTGTGAAGCACGAGTGATTGTGTTACTTGATTAAAAAGCTGTGAAGCTTAATCAAGAGTGTGTTTTGAAGAGTGTCTTCATCAATTCTCAAGTCAAATTGGTTTATGTATCACTGCTGTGATTGAGGGGGAGTGAGTAGGAACTCAGGTTTAAGTTGTACTTAGATTAGAATTGCATTGGGTAGGTCTTAAGTGAAGGAGATAAACTGGTTGGTTTATTCCTGAATTAACATCTCTTATAGTGGATTCTCTCCCTGGCTTGGTAGCCCCCAGAGTAGGTGTTGTTGCACACTGAACTGGGTAAACAATTGACTGTGTTGTTTACTGCTTTTGTATTTACTGTCATATAGTAAGTCAGATACGGTGTCATAACATCGGACGTGACATTAAGTATCTGTAGCCAGAATTTTCAAAATGAAGATCGTGCATAGAGAGATGGTCGAGGTAAGATGTTGTACGGCGGCCACAGACGAAGGAGAATAAGAAGATAGCGATCAAAAAAGTTTGACGGAGGATTGAAGGTGAGTGAAGAAGGTTGAGGGGAAGGTAGCGCCATTCGCGATTAGGAGAGGCGAAGAAGAACTCTGAGTTCTTGTAAAATTCCAATCGTCACTGTAACCCTAGCCTTGCCCCAAAACGCACCGCTCTCGTCACTTAGGTGCTATTTTTTTTTCCTTTTTTGGCTTTGTGAAATAACAATAATAATTCTAGTGATAAAAGTATAATAGGCTGAAATGGAATTGTTTGGTTGTTGGATCAAGAAGGGGCCTGGACTGAATTGCATTAGGCCAATAACAAATTATTTTTTCACACACTTGGTAGCTTTGCAAAAACATACCCTGGACTCACAAGTTGGGCCTAGTGCCCAAATTTCTACAATACCAACTGATCCGATTTTCACACCCCCTGTTCATTGTTTTTTTAGATTTTCTTCTTTAATTATTTTTTTAATCATGTTTTTCTTACAAAAAGTAGTGATGAAAATAATAGAAAAAAAAGCAATAAAAGGTAATATAAAAGAATTTCTCTAAGTTTTTTATTTATTTATTTATAATTTTGATTAGAATTTTCTATTATCTATTATGTTTAGTAATCATTTTGTTGCCATGGTTTTGATGACTTACTTTTTCTTCTCAAGATTTGAGTCTTATACAGGTTCATTGTGTGATATTTGGATATGATTGGCTCACCTTTCAATTGTGATTTATTTTTACATCGATGATGTTTTGACACTTATTCTAATTATTTGATTTCTGACTCTTTTCTTTGATTGGTGAATCTTTTGTAAAGATCGTCGGGTTTCTTTGTTTTGATACGCTTTGCTACGAATTGATATTTGTTTGGTATTTTCTCTGGTTTATCTCATTTTAGCATTTTATTGTTTTCTAGATATCATGAGAAGTAGGAATTTTACTGCTTTCTAAATATCATGAGAAGTAGGAAATAAAGAGCGTGCGCTCGAAGTCGTTGTTTAAAGTCTTGTAGCAGGCACCACTTTTTGTATGTTAATTGTGGTTGTTGAAAATCCTACCTTTGAAGTAGGTATTTTGCACGTGTGTTTACATTTGTGCCCACATATATCACAGGTGATAAGTCCTTAAAAGGTGGCGAGCGGAAAGGGTCCGTAATCGACCCCCACACATTCTAGTCAGTGTAATCCTTAGCTAACAATGTATGTTGATGCTTCGGAGTTGTGCATATCATGTTTGTCGAGTCGGCCATGTGGAGAAGTGTTCACAACCAACCCCCACACTTTATCAGGAGTTCACAATGGTCATTGTTGATACTTCTCTACCCGCTGGTTCTCTTCGAGTGATCCGCTCCCCCTTAACTAAACCATTTATTTTCTTTTTTATTTCATTTGTCTCCCGCTTGATTCCTTCGGATGATTCGCTCCCCTTAGCTAAAGCATTTATCATGTTTCCCCCATCCCTTTGAGTCAGTATGTGCTACCCATGTTTGTGTGCTTTTCCAAATCACTTGTTTTATTATTTGTTTGCTATACCATGCTTCCCTTAGGATCGCTCGATTATAGTAGCTTTCGAGCTAGACATTAGGATAGGTATCCATGCATGCTAACAAAGGGTAGAGATAGGGATGGCAAGCAGACCCAAAACCGCGGGCCCCACCCGCACCCGCACCCGAGTCAACGGGTGAAACCCGAATTGACTGGGTTTGGGTTCAGGTTCGGGTGCCACCCGATATTTCGGGTGTGGGTTTGGGATAGCTTAAACCCGCACCCGAAACCCGAAACCACACCCGCTTATATGTTAAATTACAAAACTATCCCTAAATATATATATATATATATATATATATATATATATATATATATATATATATATATATTTCAATAATTAAAAATAAAATGTAGGGTAAATTATTGTTCAGTAGTCAGTACATCCAGTTCACCCACCGACCATCGCCATCGTCACGGATTCGTGGAGTTGAAGATGTTGATGAAGAGTTTAATGATCTTGTGGTTGCTAGTGAAACATCGATGCAGGTTGAAAATCCTTGGAGGAATTTGTTGCAAAGAAAATATAGACCTCAACTTACTATGGTTGTGTTGATTCCGTTCTTCCAACAGTTTACTGGAATTAATGTTATTATGTTTTACGCGCCTGTGTTGTTTAACTCGATTGGGTTTAAGGATGATGCTTCACTTATGTCAGCTGTTATCACCGGTGTTGTTAACGTTGTTGCTACTTGTGTCTCAATTTATGGAGTTGATAAGTGGGGGAGAAGAGCTCTTTTTCTCGAAGGTGGTGTTCAAATGCTTCACTTTCAAGTTCACGCTCACTTCAGTTCACCCACCGGCCACCGCCATCGTCACCTCCGTCACCTCCGTCACCTTCGTCACCTCCGTCAGACCGTCACCTTCGTTAGTTCGTTTCTCCGTCTCCTTCGCCTCTTCACCGGCGCCTACAAACTCCTCCGTCATCTTCTTCATACAATCCTCTTCTCGCCATTCTCCAAAGGTACATGAATATAAAGCTTATATTCAGAACTTGTCCTTGGTTCTAACTCAAACATCAATTTTAAGGTAATTTGTTTGTTTAGGGTATGTTTTCAGAACATTATTTCTAAGCACATCTAAATCCTTCCTCAAGAGCTGTAATTGCTGAAAAATATTGAAATCAAAGACAATGGAATTCAGCTAGCTGATAAAAAGATATCGGCAGTTAATTCAGAAAATATATAATGAAAAGAAACCTGACTGTAGTACCTTAGACTGCTCTTCAATATTGTCTTTTTCGTTAAGAGATTGTGATTGATCCTGTTTTGCTATAATAGTAGACAGCTCGCTGCGACTCTACTTCAATTGTTTAATTTGGCGTATCAATTGCTTTTCTTCTTTTAGAGGCAGAGTTTCATGCTGAATCATGTGTTCCATGTTTCTAATTTGAAACCAAATTATAAATCTAGAGAAGTTAACACAACAAAACAGACATAAGAATCAAATCCTGGTAAATATCTCAGGAATAACAAAATGAATGCATACCTTGCTATCGATATCCCCTACAGAAATTGCATTATTTAATCTATTCATGGTGGATTGAACTGAATCCATCTCCTGCCGTTTGGATTTAAGCAAATCTCTAGCAGCTCTCTCTTCTTGTACTGCTGCTCTAAATTCTTGCCCATACTCTTTACAACTGGCCTGATTGAATTATCATTCAAAATAATTATCTAACATCATAGACTGTTCTTTTCTATTTTGTGTGTATGTATTCAATGTATGTATTCAAATGATGTATTCAATGAATCACTTGTGATAAACTGAATTCGAATTTTCGTTAGAACAATTTTGAATTTGACTTTACTTATCTTCTAGTCGAACTTCAGTTAATGCTAATGTTAAGTATTGAATTTTGCAGAGGCAAGCAGATGTGAACTCACTGATGCTGATACTGGCATTGCTATGCCTTTTGCTTCCAATTCTATTCACATACAGTGCTGCATCACCGGAACTCACCGTAGAATCTTCACTCTACTTGTCAAGAGCTGCTAGCATTGTCATGTTGGCTGCATATTTTGTTTACTTGATCTTTCAACTATTGACACATAGGCAACTATTTGAAGCTGAAGATGTATGTTTTCTTAACTGAACCATATATGAAAATGTTGAATTGTTGATTGTTGCAATTGTAGTTTATTAAAAGGAATTGAGCAGGAAGGCGGAGATGAGAACATTGAGGCAGAAGAGGTTGTGATTGGATTTTGGAGTGGATTTGCTTGGTTGGCTGGAATGACTGTGTTCACTGCGTTGTTGTCTGAATACGTGGTCGATACAATTGAGGTATTTCAATTTAATTGCTTAGATCTAATTTGGAATTCTTTTGAATAAATAGCTTAATTAAGCACTTATTTAATGAGCGTATCACATAATCAGTTATGCATAAGTCAGGAGCAGGTTTGGATTGAATTATTGTAAGGCTGTTTGGTAGAGCTTACAATATGTCCACATGCTGTTTTCAGCTTATTTTTCTAAGCTCTTCATGATAGCTTTTATAAAAACAGTTTATAGCTTATACGAATTTTTTTTGGCTATTTTATCTTTTGTTGTAGAAGTAACTTATACATAAACACTTATATGATAAGCATTTATGCTTTAAATGTGTAGTTAAATTGTTTACCAAACAAGGTCCTATAATCAAATCTGAAATGTGTTTAAACTGTTTTTATATTAGTTATAAATCGTTTTGCTAAGCTTATTGAGAGTTTTTACTAAAATAAGCTTAAAACAACTTATAGGCGTGTCATAAACTATTGTTAACGGGATGCATCAGATTCATGGGGTTTATCAGTGAGCTTCCTCAGCATAATCTTGCTTCCAATAGTTGGCAATGCAACTGAACATGCTGGAGCAATCATTTTTGCTTTCAAGAACAAGCTTGTAAGAATTTATGTTATAGTGTTACTCAATTCCATACTTAATCCTTTCATTTAACATATGATTAAATTCATATTTTCCAAGCTATAAAGTTGATGAATTGAAAGGATAAAACAATATTCAAGTGAAGCTGAACTAATTTCATGACTGCAGGACATTTCCTTAGGTGTTGCATTGGGCTCTGCTACTCAAATTGCCATGTTTGTGGTAAATAAATATACTCTTACCTTTATGGATAATTTGATTTTAAATTGCATTTACGATTACGCTGCATGTCTCTTTATATTATGAGAAGTGCAGCTGAGATATCGTTGCAGAATCCTCAATGTCCTTTATATTGCGGCTACAATTGTTGTTGCAGACTACAATTTAAAAGTATTTGGATAGTTGTCTTTATTTGAATTATAATGAAACATATATAATATTAAAATTCAGGTTCCCCTCTGTGTTACTGTTGGTTGGGGAATGGGAGTGAATATGGACCTAAACTTCAACCTCATTGAGACAGGTTCTCTTGCTGTGGCAATTATAGTCACAAGCTTCACTTTACAGGTATGTAAATTTCACATCCAAAACAATTGTGTGTATGTATTCAATGGATGTAATGATATAAATTTTTTATAGATGCTGAGATAAGTATTTATTAAATTCCGTTTTACAATTGTACCTTCAAGGAAAAAGAAAACTTGTTACCATCTCTTTTAAAAATTCTAAAAAGCTCTGCAGTGGCACGTGGTGTAAGGCCAGGATTACTTTCGGATCCGTAGATTGTAAACGTCTTTCCAGAGCCAGTTTGGCCATAAGCAAATACGCAAGAATTAAGTTACATGTTTTATATGTTTTAAGTTTCACATGTTTGTTATTACAATTTAAAATTATGATGATAATATCTATTAGTGTTTCTTAACATTCGAAATATATTTTATTTGTAATAGGTAAAATAGATCAAGTGAACACAACTCCGGAGCCGGGAGGAACATCTAATCTTACACAAGAAAGTTGTAATATATTAGCTTGTTGTTGTTGAAAAGTTGTAATTTGATTGTAGAATTTAATTTTAATTGTAATGTTAAGATGTTGAAGACTATGTGTGATACGGTGGGAGAACTGACTGTGGTTTTGCGTTCGTATTCGCACTTGTGCGGTTGAGTAAGAGTCGCCACCGACTTTTTATTTTATCCTAAAGGAAAGGTTAAAAAAGCACAGCAAAAACCTTTTGAGATATTTCGTGGGTTCGGGGGGTAGATTATGAAAAGGGAAGGTATTAGCACCCTTTTCATCCATGGTTATCCATGGGCTCTTAGTTACTTGGTTTTTAGATCACTTGCCTTGATTTTTGATTGCTTGAAAATGGTGTGTATGTGTGTGTGTTTGAAAATGTTTTTGAAGAGATGTCTTGTCTCAGGCGACCAATGTATTTGACTCGTGTTTGAGTGTTTTACAAAAGTGTGGATCTTTTCGAAAAGATGTTTCAAATGTTTTTTGAGAGTTTGTTTGAAAGTATTGTGGATTGTGATTTTGAAAAGAAGGCAAGTGTTTTTGCAAATTGATCTCAAGTAACTAAGAGTTTTGTCTACCCTATTATACTCAAAGGTTTTTGTTATGTTTTAACCCCTTTTAACAATTTTGTTCCACCATTGAAATTGGTGGACAATCTTGCGTTTAGGAAGTTTATTCGGGACGGGCACGGGTCATCGTATGGACCATGAATGCAATGGTGCCAAGTGTCTTTGGCAATTTGCTTTGAGGGGACTATGATCATTCCGTTTAGGCAACATTTTGAGGGACTTATGATCATTTGAATTTGTTTTGCCAAAGATACTCGACGTGCAAGCATGGCCCATTTTGGGAGGCAACATGTGGGATTACCCTAGAGGGTGCAAGTGTGATTGTGTATTGATTTCATGTATTTGTCTTGTATTAGGTTATCTAGCGTTTGATTTTTATGTACATGCAAACCCTAGGTCTAACCATGGTATAACTGAAAGCGGTAAATTGCGAAAATGTAAAATCTACGCTATTACAAAATAAGTATCCGGGAGTGGGGGTACAAGTGTATGAATGGGGATGAGACTTATAGTATCCAATAAGTTACAACCAAATCGAATTTGCGATCAAATGTAAATGACGTATATCAATGTGTAAGATAAACAAATGTGTATAGGAGCAATATATTGGGTATTTGTATTGTGTAAGTGTGAGATGTATATGTATATGTGATTATTTACAAATGTGACAAGGTGAAATTAATGAAGTATTGTTAGGTATTTGTTTTGGCCTAAAGAAAAATTAAACGTCTATTTAATTAATTGGTCTTGTAATTTTGTATTTTTGATATGTATGAAAAGAGTGTTTTAATGAAAGAAAATGTTTTCAATTTAATTATATTGTGTATAAAAATGTATCTTTATTATTATATACAAAAAGTATTAAATGTCAAGAATTGAATTATGAAAATGATGTTTTAAGAAAATATTTCTAGGTTTTAATTATGTATAAAAAGTATATTTTCATGTGTTATGTACAAAAATATTTTAAGAAATTAAATTATGCAAAAATGTATATTTACTTATTATGTACAAAATATATTTTAATTAAAAGAATAGAAGGGTATCTTCAATTTTAATTATATGATGTAGAAAAAAAATGTATCTTAATTAAATGTTTAAGAAAAATGTATTCTTCAATTAATAATGTATATTAACAAGAGTGTATTTTTTATTAAAATATATTAAGTTAGAAAAAGAATTTTTTATTAAAAGGTTTTAAGTATAAAAGAAAATGTTCTATGTTAATTTAAGTAAAAGGCTTGAAATAGGTTAGAAATGGGCTCAAAGAGGGGGGGGTGTGAATTGGAGCAAGGATTTGGGCTTAGGCATGCAGAGACGGGCAAGGCCCACGTTGGACTCAAAACAATTTAGGGTTTGGAATTGTTGTTCAGTTGGAACAAAAGGCTTAGGGTTTGTACAGCGGCGCGTCTCATGGAGTTTCGTTGTCTTCTCCGTTCGTTCTTCTCTGAGTGATGGATATTTGAATGCAACTCCTTCACACAAGGTCAAGAAACGCCATCATCCCCCTTTCACCCTCCATAGACCGGTCAGACCATGTTATAGGGTACGATTTCAATCTCAAATGCATTAGGGTTTTGTTCCTTTCTGATTTTAATTTCAATTTTGGTTTCGACTTATATTTTCTTTCGTTCTTGACATGCATGTAAGGAGGTATAAGAGTACTACCTTTTGGAGACGGCGGAAAGGGGATTTTGGAGGCGTTGAGGTCCGACAATGGAGGGTGCTGATGCTTGCGCGATAAGGGCGCGATTGTGAAGCTAGCTTGCTCTTTGGTATTTCTGTATTTTTGTTACCGTCTCTAAGGTTTTATGATGCGTTCTGAACTGAAAACCCTCTATCTTCTTTCTTCTTCTCTTCTACTGCATGTTGCCTTGAACGTCTCTCTCTTCTTCTGACTTGTTGTCTTGAATTGCTGCTTTGAGATGCCTTTGAAACTGTGTTGCCTGCTTTGTATGCTATGTGTTGAACGCCTGTGATGTTAATTGCCTGAGGCTTGCCTGTTACTTTTCCTCTTCTTCTGACTTATGTTGCCTTGAGTGTTTGTCGTATGCTTTGCTTATGTTACTTTTTGCCCAGTGATGTATTCTTACTGAGGGCTCGAGGGTTTTGACACTGAGTTGCCTTTGAATATGCTTGGATATGCTTTGGATTGCCCGGTGACGAATTTCCTGAGGGTCTGCCTTGAATGCACTTCTCGTTCTCTTCTCCCTTTGCCTTGAATGTTTGTTTATGGCCCAATGATGAGCATTCCTCTGAGGGTTCTCATGTGGGCTCCTGTGTTTGATGTGTTAGGCTTGAAGCTGGACAGGCCTTATGGTGAGTTTGTGTTTGATGGGTCCAGGTTGGACAGAGTTAAGGGTATGAGGCTTTTTGACAGGGCAGGTTTATCGTTTGACAGGAGGTGATGGTTTGGGTGCACATGTTTTGAGCTTCAGCAGGTTATATGCTGATATGGATTTTGTTTCTGGTTCAGGTGAGGCTTGCTTCAAAGCTTTAGGCAGGTTCTGATATTTGACAGGTTTGTATGGTTTTTAGTCTGGGATTAGGCTTATCATTTTAGGCTTTGCAGGTTTGTATGGTTATGTGTTTGGAAGTGTTTAACAGGTGAAGCTTCAGGCTTGCTTCAGGCAGGCTTGGGATATGCAGGTGGTACTGTCTTTTGGTGTCTTGAGGTTTTTAGGCCTAGCAGGTTATTTGCTTCAGCAGGTTTTGCTTCTGGTTTGTGAAATAGCAGGTTATGGTTGTTTGATGTATATTTTGGTTTTTTGACAGTATGTGGGATTTGTGCTTTAGCCTTGAACTTGGTTCTAGTTGCTTAGGCCAAGGTTTTGGTAATGCTTGACAGTTTGTATCTTTCTTTGTGTTGGTTTTCTTGCTCTTATCCTACTGTGTTCAGTCTTTTGTATATTTTCTTCTTCCTATCTATGCCTGCCTAAGCCTGAAAACCTGCATCTTATCTCTTCTTTTTCTCTCTCTATAGTACACTTTAGAGAATTTTAAATGTTTTTCTTGTGTACTTTCTGAAAGGGCCATTGGGAAATGATGAAAAATGTAGCTTGCATAAAAGATTTTCTCTGCATATTTTCTCTTTTCTTTGACAACTTTCTATACTTTGTGAACTTTCCATATCTTTGCCAAATCTTTTCATGACAGCCTTGAGTAGACTTTGTACTTTTTTGACAGTAAGTTTGATATATTTGGATTTTCAGTTTGGTTTGAACTTGGAGTTTGAGATTGAGTTTATGCAGTTTTGACATTTTATGCATTTTGACACTTTGCATTTTTTCTCAACTTTGCATTTATGATTAAATAAAATTCTTCCCTCTTTGTGAACCGGGAGAAATCCCGTGATTTGCAGAGAGGGTTAACTGATCCCAATCAGTGGCCCTTAATGATGATTGAAATTTTATCTGTCTTTAATTAATTATCAGTCACTGATTTTTCTTCTTTTGCAGATAAAAATGGATGGAGGGGTACTAAATGAAGACTGAAGAATTAGAAAAAATAGGATAGTTTTCTTTTTATTTAATATTTAAAATAATGTAAACCATTGTTTGTAATTAAATTATAAACAATAATTGTACAAATAATTCAAATATCAATAAAAGTCTTTATTATCCAACCAATTCTATTTCCTCTTTCTTTATTGTTTATTTGTTTATTTAAAACTCTTTGAATTAAAATAATTGAAAAAATAAATTTCAATCACTTAATTTAGAATAATAAATAATTTAAATAAAAAATACTTTAGCACATTGATCAATTAAACCTGGTATCTTCAAAGCGAATCAATAGTTAATCAAAACACTGATCAGGCGCGTTCTCTCTTTTCACTGATTTTCAACAAACACTGTAATTCCAAACCGCGCATATCCTTTGACTGGTGAATTCAAACCAATTGCCTCCTCTTACTGATTAAATTAAAAACAATGCGAATTCGACCCGAATCTCGGAGTAACTTGCAAAGTGCTGTGGATTTTTAATTTTGCTGAGAATATGCCCATAAAACCTTAATTCCTGATTAAATGCCAATGAACATTCGCCTGATCAAAATTGAGCCAGAATCAACCAAAACCCTAAGCCAACTGTTTGAAGCAATCCAGAACCCTGAAAAATCAACAAAACCCTAATTTTGTCTGACTGACGAGAAAAGTCCGTTTGTCCGATTCTTGAGCCAGTTTGAAAAATCAGGAAAT